GCCTGTAAGATTAGAAGCAGCGGCGAATGTACCGATCTTGAGGTCACGGTTCTTGAAGCTTTGAAGTTGACGCTCCAGCTCCTTCAAGTCGAGGCCGCCGCTCTTGGCCTCGGGAATCTCAACCACGTCAACCGCGTACAGCTCACGCCACGGCAACAAATTGGAGTGGTGCGAGAAGGGGCATGTGAAGACGACCGGGCGCTTGTTCGGACGATGATGGCGTCGCATCGTTTTAAGACCAAGAGCAGTAATGAATTTGTTAATTGCACTAGTGCAACCTTGACCAGTGAACACGACGATGTCACGAGCCCCGGTGCCATGGAGACGAGCGTTTACAGCCTTACCAATAATCTGGCGAGCCTCTTCACGGAACGAGGTGGTCTGGAGACCCGTGACCGACGTGGTGGTGTGCGTGTTGCCGTACGTAGGCATCACCTCGTTGCGGATAAAAGTCTCGATGCTCTCGATGGCCTTGCCACTGGCTGTGTAGTCGGCGTAACACTGGGCCTTGGTGCCAAACGGCGTCACGAATGGGATGTTACGTCCGATCATGTTTTCGGCAATATCATGCAGCAACTGCACATCAAGCTCCTGCTCTTCCTCGACTTGAACGTCGTTGTCATCCTCAACCGAGGAGATGTCAGTGGCGACGGAAGTGCGCGTAGTCATGCGACGGTCGGCCTCCTTCATGACACCAAGAGCGATCTCCGTGTCAATGTCGGTCGTGAGACCGTCGGTCACGCTGTTGGAGCTGGAGGAGGTCTCCGACTCGGTGTCGCGTTTGTCATCGTCGTCTTCGATTTTCTTCTTCTGTCGATCGATGCGTTCGGCCTCCAGATCAATGGAAGACGTGTCTGTCTGTGCCAGCGGGTTGATTGAGCTGGGTGACAGCAAGTCCTTGTCCTCATTGCCTTCCTTAGCCGGTGGCATGACAGCTAGCAGGCTGCGACGCGGCAGCGAGCTCTCGTCAATACTGTGGCGCAACATGGATACTCAGGACAGACGAAGCGAGCGTGCACTCACTCAGGAGATCGCCAACCGCTAAACACCTTTATGGTTGGAGTGAATTTCGGAAGTGACAAGTTCGACCCACCAAGTGTTTTTCAGCGGGTGTCTGCAGAGGTCAGGCATCTCGGTTAGGAAAACATGTCCGCTTTCTGATTGTTGAGGTCCGGGGAAATCGGGATTCAAGCACGACATGCCGGCGGCATGGCGTGCTTGTCAAGCAGCGGCATTGCCGCTGCTGTCCAAATCCCAGCTGGACGACGGTGTAAACGCCGCAAATGCTGCAAAAAAAGCTCGGCGCGGCGCCAGTCGAGTCACGTTTGACGGCGCCCCACATAAAACGCACCTTGAGAGATACTTGTTGCCGATTTGTCCAGAAGAGCCTCGTCCGTTTGCGATAATCATTTCTTTATCCTGTTTCATGACGAGAACAAACCCCAAACAAAACTTGACTCGATGACACAGCCCACCATCAGATTTAACTGATCCCCGTACCAATGGGTACTGCCTCCATCTGAAGATTTGGACATGGATCGGCAACGGCGTGGCGCTGAGTTCCACCATTTACGGTATATTAAATATTATCAGAAAAATATGTGGCATGAATACCATGGTGTTTCGTTGAGACCCTTTAAAGAGATCACGTTTTTGGCCTCTAAATTACAAACCCCAACGGCGACTTCCAACTCGGAGCCAGGCTTGACCTGATCTTTTAATTGCCGCGGCCCTCCCGCAGCGACGAGGCAACGAGCAGGGCCCCTACGCCAGATGCACTGCATGTACTGGTACATGTATATGCATGAGAAGCGTGCGCGTCGCCCGCCAATGGCGGTCCGCCATCGGACGAAGGGAAGTCATCATGGTTCCCTTGTTCCTACTCTCTTTGGTGCAGTGGGCCACCACCAATGGTGGATACAGTATGAGCTGGCCTAATTGGCGCTGTCTGCAATGCACACTTTGCAGCGAGCGGGCGCACGGCGAGATATCTGTACAATTTATTATGTGACGGCATTCGAGTCGAGTTCAGATATCGCGGCCATCCCACTTACAGAGGCCCTCAGTAACTGGACCAGTTGGAGCCCCACTGTACATGAATGTTGAATCGACATTGTCGATGTCCTATACATGTACAGACAACGTGGGCCCGCTGTACGACGCGGCGTACCTGGCTGCTGCAA